TCCACAAACCTATGAGCACCTGATTTTCGATAAAGGAGCTAAAAGTATACAATGGAAAAAAGAGAGCATCTTCAACAAATTGTGCTGGCAAAACTGGATTTCAATCTGTAGAAAAATGAAAATAGATCCATGTCTGTCACCATGCACAAAACTCAAGTCCAAGTGGATTAAAGACCTCAATATCAGTCTGAACACACTGAACCTGATTGAAGAGAAAGTGGGAAGTACTCTACAACAAGTGGGCACAGGAGATCACTTCCTACGTATAACATCAGCAGCACAGACAGTAAGGGCCACATTGAATAAATGGGACCTCCTGAGACTGAGAAGCTTCTGTAAAGCAAAGGACACTGTCGCTAAGACAGAAAGGCAACCCACTGACTGGGAGAAGATCTTCACCAACCCCGCAACTGACAAAGGTCTGATCTCCAAAATATATAAAGAACTCAAGAAACTAGACTGTAAAAGGCTAATCAACCCAATTATAAAATGGGGCACTGAGCTGAACAGAGATCTCTCAACAGAAAAAGTTCAAATGGCCAAAAGACACCTAAGGTCATGCTCAACTTCCTTAGCGATCAGGGAAATGCAAATCAAGACAACTTTAAGATACCATCTTACACCTGTCAGAATGGCTAAAATCAAAAACACCAATGATAGCCTATGCTGGAGAGGGTGTGGAGAAAGGGGTACACTTATCCATTGCTGGTGGGAATGCAAACTTGTGCAACCACTCTGGAAAGCAGTGTGGCGGTTTCTCAGAAAATTTGGGATCAACCTACCCATGGACCCAGCAATACCACTCTTGGGAATATACCCAAGAGAGGCCTTATCATGCAACAAAAATATATGCTCTACAATGTTCATAGCAGCATTGTTTGTAATAGCCAGAACCTGGAAACAACCTAGATGCCCTTCAATTGAAGAATGGATGAAGAAAGTATGGAATATATACATATTAGAGTACTACTCAGCAGTAAAAAACAAGGACTTCTTGAAGTTTGCAGGCAAATGGATGGAAATAGAAAACACTATCCTGAGTGAGGTAAGCCAGACCCAAAAAGAGGAACATGGGATGTACTCACTCATATTTGGTTTCTAGCCATAAATAAAGGACATTGAGCCTATAATTCGGGTTCTTAGAGAAGCTAAATAAGAAGGAGAACCCAAAGAAAAACATATAGGCATCCTCCTGAATATTAACCTTCATCAGGCGATGAAAGAAGACAGAGACAGAGACCCACATTGGAGCACCGGACTGAAATCTCAAGGTCCAAATCAGGAGCAGAAGGAGAGCGAACATGAGCAAGGAACTCAGGACCGCGAGGGATGCACCCACACACTGAGACAATGGAGATGCTCTTTCGGGAACTCACCAAGGCCAGCTGGCCTGGGTCTGAAAAAGCCTGGGTTAAAACCGGTCTCACTGAACATAGCGGACAATGAGGACTACTGAGACATCAAGAACAATGGCAATGGGTTTTTGATCCTATTGCATGTATTGGCTTTGTGGGAGCCTAAGCTGTTTGGATGCTCACCTTTCGAGACCTGGATGGAGGAGGGTTTTCCTTGGAATTCCCATGGGATGGAGAGCCCTGATTGCTCTTGGGGCTGACGAGGGAGGGGGACTTGATTGGGGGAGGGGGAGGGAAAGGGGAGGCGGAGGTGGGGAAGAGACAGAAATATTTAATAAATAAAAAAAATAAAATAAAAAAAGAATTGCTTTATATTTATTTGTCGGATTTAATATAAACTGCTTTTATTATAAAAGTTTCTAGAACTTCTACAGTACTGTTTTGTATTTCCTTTTTGATCGAATAATTATTTCAAATAGGATTTTTAAATGTTCAGTAGGAAGGTTATTTCATGTCTGATTTTTGTCAATAATAATATCTTTACTAAGTTGTGATCAAGACTAATTATTTATGAATTATATAATTATCTGCTTTGGTATTAATGAAAATAATGCTACCAAAAAAATACCACTTAAAATTGTTGTCTGGCTACATAAGGCATACATATAATTTATTTTCAGAGTTTAATACATTGTAATCATACAATGTTATTTGTGTTTTCTGTATTTGACCTGTCGTGATCTGAAAAGGGCAGATTAAGCTCAGCAACTGCAGTATATTCCTATTTATCACGAGTTGCATTTCTCCATTTCTTGTTACTTACCTGTTTACGTTCACTTGAATTCATTTTCTTCATGATGACAATTTTATTTTGTCTATTTATATTCATTTGTGTCACACCTTCTGTCCTCTTCCTCTCTTTTCTCTTTCCTTCTTTTTTTTCCCTTCCCTTTTAAAATAATTTTTTGGGAGCAGGTTTTGGTATGTGTCCCAGGCTAGCCTTCTAGACTAAAACTCGTGTAGCTTAGGATAACCTCAACTTGGAAATCCACTCCTCTGTGACTCAAGCACTGGAATTACAGGCATTAAGCATCAAACTTACCTTACCCCTTTGCCTTTGCTTTTTAGATATGATTTCTTTATGTAGTTCTGGATGTCCTGGAACTCGCCATGAGAAAGGTTGACCTCAATCTGGAGATCCTCCTGCCCCTTCCTCCCAAGTTCTGGGATGAAGACATGTGCCACCATGCCCAGACCACCTCTTTGCTTTCTCAGTGTAATCTTTGTTCTATTTATTATTGAATTGCTCCTTCAATTGTACTTTATAGGTGACTGAAAATTCTTTATTCATTTTTATGGTAAATACCTATGGTCAGGATTATCAACGTACTCTCTCTTCTGTTTTCCTTTTACTTTTAAGCTTTTCTGTCCTGAATATTTAAGATTTTTATTATCCTAATAATTATAACAGAGCAAATTTAATTCTCTACTTTTTGTGTAGTATCTATTAATATTATAAAAGAATTGGTAGAATGTTCTTGCTCCATTTCTGATTTCAGTTTTTGTTTCTTATCTTATATTAATCAATAAAACTCATCTTTCAGAATATTTATCTTTTGAAATAGATGCCTGTGTTATTGGCTTATTAGCTTTAAGAACAACTTGTTGATACCCATTATTATGTATGAGTAACCAGAAGACTTGGCCTTCCCTTCCCATTCTCCCTTTGTGTGTTGCATTCTTTCTACATTATCTAAGCAAATGCCATTTATGTTTGCCAGTGTCTGAATCAGATTTTTGCTACTATAGCAGAATACCGTGGCCAGTAATCTGTGATGAACAGAGGCCATTGCTTTACAGCTGCAAAGAGCGAGCGTTACAAGACTGCTGAAACTGTCTTTCATGAGGCGTCAGTCCACTCCCCCGGCAGCATTAATCACCAGGGCTCTTATGCATCAAATAAACACTGCTAGTCCCACCAGCGTATGGTTGCCATGGCAGTTAAACTTCAGTATGACTTAGAAGAGAGTAATCAAGCCGTGGAAGTCTGTCAGTCAGATCTCCACATGTTTCAAAGTCTTTTTACTGTAATAAAACATGTCACATCTCTCCATTCTGCAAATGGGGTTGGTAAATCAGAATACATGTCTTAACAAGTTCTTTTCATTTATAAACAATATTCTCCGAGGTCATGAATTTTCAATATTGTTTGCAAATCTTAATCTTAATTTGAGTGGCTTGTGGGAAAATTTTTGCATCCCAATTTCTTTACATGAGTCTTTCTGAGAATTTCTCTATTTGAGGCTGGGGGTGGTGGTGGGTGAGGTTGATGCTTGTTTATAGGATTCTTTTTTTTTTTTTCAATCTTTAAAACTCAGAATCATTACTAAAATGCCTCTCAGTTTTGACCAGGATAGGTCAGTTTGGATGGATTCATGTCACTTCCTCCTGACTTTTATTACCTTAAGCTCCAATTAAAAATTATTATAATGTTTGTTCATAATGTTCAATTTCCACAACAAATCATTGCCTTCACATATATCGATAAATTAATTAAAACACATTTTGATTTCACTTTTGTGTACTTCTTTCTTATTTCTGCCACATTTGAAGTATTTCGTTTAAAACTTTTCTTATGGTAAAGTTTGCTGCATCAGTGGATAAAAGCTCGAGTCATCATGACTGGACTAGGCTAGTCTTAGCCACCACTGGAGCCCTGGCCATTTCATCACCTCCCCATTACCCTAGACTTTTCCTTCCTGGGGATGTTTATTGATGCTTCACCAAATCCTTATTTATTACTCATCATTAAATGGATGGGTTTTTGTAGATCTGCTGCTTGCACGACACTCCTGCTGGGGGTTAGGGTGGAGGCACTGCCTGGCCTTCCGCTCCCCTGCAGTTCCCAGTGCCTCCCGCTGGGGCAACTCCTCTGTGTCACCACTCCCCAGACTGCTTCCCTCACTGCATTTGCCTCATTCTTCCTCCCAGGCCATGTCACAGCTTGAGATGACAGAGCTCCTTACATTCCTTCTTACTTTCTAACCCATTCAAGTTTTCCCACAAAGGCTTCCTGCTCTACTCCAGTCCTCTTGACTTTTCCTAAACACATTCGCTACCTTGATTGGCTTTATCTTCTCACTTGAATTGCCCTTTTCTTCCCTTTCCTGTCTGTTATGCTTGGGAACATTAGCAGATACTCTGTCTCCATTAGGAACCACATCTTGACACCCCTTCTTGGCAGAATTAATAGCTCACCTATTTTTCTGCAACACATTACCACATTTTTAGAACATGTGTCTTGCTGCTGTCTGTATTTGTTTCCCTGTCATTAATACACCAGCGTGCAACCCTAATATCAGCAGAGAGCCAGTCAATACAAAATTTAAAGGGATGTACATCCAAGGATGGGTGGCTTTTACTCTCATTTAGCCTCATATGGTTGTCTGTGTATACAACTGAAAGGTAGACTTTTAACATTTTGCTTCATCTAGAACTTCTTTCTTTTTTCTTTTCAAAGTAATTTAATCATGTCGAAGCAACTTTCCTGTTTATGAGTAGCAGCAAAAACTACCTCAGGTTTAAAACCTTTGTAGAACTTTGGAAATTACAGTAGCCATTAATGGAGTCTCTTCTACATTGCAGGAGACGCCACGGTGACGATAGCTCACAGATACACTCCCAGAGAGCAACTGAAGGCCCATACTCAGCTGGCAGACATTATCATAGTGGCTGCAGGTAAGTCCAGAGTGACTGTCATGTGGCGGAATGACATGGTTGAATCATTCCTGCCCTGATTTCTGGGGCACTGAAAGAACCTGTAGGAGACACACATGGGCAAGCCTATGACTGACGTCTGTGGATTGAATTTTGTCTCCATGCGGTCATCGTATTATTGGCCTATGGCACCTGTGTCAGCATCTGTCACACCATATGGGGAATACTAATGACCCTTGCCACAATAGATGAAGCCCCGGAACAAATGTGTACTTTTCCAGTTGCTTGGGCAAACGTGACTGAGCACATGTAAGAAACAGATCAGTGCCGGTTGGTAATGTCACGTGGTTTAGGGAAGAAAGAAACTGAATTTGATCTTGAAAATTGTGCTGGTGAAAATAGTGAGAAAGGTGCAGCTCTGCCTGCACCCAGGCTTGAGGCATAGGCTTCAGAGCCTGGCCTCTAAAGGGAGGACCACAGGCTAGACCGTGTCCCAATGTGGGCGTCTGGTGCGAGAATGGCGACATTTGCTGAACGGTGGTGTGTGAAATTCGGTGCGACAAACTGAGGGTCTCTGGTTTGTATGAAAGAAGAAGATGAAAGAATTGTATTTTGTAAAGGATAAGGAAAAAGAAGAGTCAAACTCAACTTTATTATAACAGGGCCCCATAACGCCATAATTCTTGAGCTGGTGAGCTCCCTGTCACTGTAGTTATTTTGAATAAAAATTTTAAAAAGTGTTATAGATAAATATTTGATGATTTTGGGAATTAACTCTTGCCATATTTTGAATGACATAAGTATTTCATATTCTTTTTTTAAAATTTAACTTTGTTAAAATATTTTAACATCATATACAGTCATGCTGCATTAGGTTACTTTGTATTTTAGTAAAGAAAGAAAAATATGTGAAATATAGTGAATATGTACATGTTTATTATAACATGTTTAAATTTATTAGTTTAATCATAAGGTAAATTAAGTAACCTGAATGATATTTTAGATCCTAGGAAAGGCTAGAGTACAGAGTTCGTATGTGTGATTAATTTCCTTAGAAATATTGAGGGTCGACTGCATGTCTCTGACTTTATCAGACATGAATACTCTCAGAGAGTGAAGGGAAGATTGGATTTGACCACCAGTAATTGTTGTACTCTTGTGAAGCAGATGTTTCAAATTGTAAGGATGTAATACCTAATAAAATGACAAAGTCTGCCCATTGTAGAGCTTATATTTTTGTGAGAAAAAGCAAAATAAAAAAAAAAAAAAACAAAAAAAAATCCCCGTCAATCTAAAACAGTGTTGGATACAGATAAGGGCTTCAGAAAGAATATGTATAAGATACCATTTTAGATATTGATTTCTGAAAATAATTTCAAGAACTAGCCAGTGAGTAGAGTCTCATTCCTGGTCTCTCATCTGCCCACTGGGTCCACTCTTCCTTGTTCTGCTTTCTTCCAGGGAGGCTGATGAGTGTGGACAGCCTGACCTGTATATTTTGGTCACTGGCTTCTGCCTAGATTTGGCACTGAAGGGATTCTGAAGGGAAGAGAAAGAAAGCTCAGGGCAGGCTATCTCTTCTCTCTTCTTCCTCCCTTCTGCTACTCTCTCCCGTGTCTATGGCTCTGTGTCTAACTCTTTCTCACAGATTTTGCTCTCACTGGGCTATTGTCGTGTAGTATCCTTCACCTGCTCCTTCAGGAATGGGATTGCCCATGCTTTTTCAATGTCTAGCACCTCAGGCTTCCAACAGCCCAAATACAGCTCTGTAAAAGTTCCTTTATCACATGATGGTCTGAGGTGAATTTCATGACCTATGTAAAGTGGAGAAAAGAACATCCCAAGCTGCGAGAAAAGAAAAAGTCCTCACAGAAAGATGTATGGTCCAAAATGGAGATACTGGGGTACATGATATACATAATATACACTAGTACATTATGAGGGATAGTGTCAGAAATACTGTGTGGAACATAGCCAAGGTCACCCATATGAGATCTTAAAGCTGTGGACATTGGGAGAGCCAAGGATGGAGAAGAGAGCAGAAGAGAAGCTCAGGCTTCTGAAGCCTCCATAGACTGTCAAGAACAGTTTCTAGAGATCCAAGAGCAGCAACACAGAGAGATTATTATGATTTCATTGATGAGATCCAGCGTTTTTTTGAGTTTCCTACTTTACTTGGCATACAGTGTTTATTTTTCTTTGCACCCCTTGCCACATCTAAAGCTTGAATGATAGATAACCTCTATTGATTTCCTGTTTACTTACACGCTGCTGGTATTTTCCAGGCATTAAACTTCACAGGTATTTATAAAATATGAAGGGAGAGTGAAAACTCCAAGTGAAATTAAATTTTATGAAAAGAATAATGTCAGGTTAAATTAGCTTCAAATAAACTTAATTAAATTTCTTCTTTTGTGGGCATTTTTCTGAATATGCTAACTCAAGGGGCATTGATTTGTTCCTTGTAGAATAAAAATGGTAGTAATGTAGTAAGCTGCTAATTTAATTATGCCTGCAAGGTTAGATTCAGGTGCAAAGTTTTGAATAAGATTGAGCAAGATGTATTTAGAGATGCATTGAACTTTTTCAGAGGACAGGCCATCATCCAGTGAAGCACTTCTATAGCAGCAGTGCATCATGGGAGATGAATAGTGTGTTGACATCTTAGAAACACTCATACCCACATGTTAAGACTGAAAATGTGGTGAGCGGAGATTGGGAGTGGTCACCTTTCCCACAGGATCAATTTATATTTTGAAAGTGTTGTTTTTACAACTTTAAATCTTTGAAGAAAGAAATTGAAGAAGACACCAGAAAATGGAAAGATCTCACATGCTCTTGGGTAGGTAGAATTAATATAGTAAAAATGTCAATCTTACCAAAAGTAATCATCAGATTCAATGCAATGCCCGTCAAAATCCCAGCAAAATTCTTTACAGACCTCTAAAGAACAATACTCAGCTTTATATGAAAAAGCAAAAAACCCAGGACAGCCAAAACAATCTTGTACAATAAAGGAACTTCTGGAGGTATCACAATCCCTGACTTCAAACTCTACTACAGAGCTACAGTACTGAAAACAGCCTGGTATTGACATAAAAACAGACAGGAGGACCAATGGAACTGAATTGAAGACCCAGATATCAATCCACTCACCTACAAACACATGATTTTTGACAAAGAAGCAAAAAATATCAAATGGAAGAAAGAAAGCATATTTAACAAATGGTACTGGCATAATTGGATATCAACATGTAGAAGAATGAAAATAGATCCATATCTATCACCATGCACAAAACTCAAGACCAAATGGATCAAAAACGTCAAGGTAAAACCAACCACACTGAACCTCATTGAAGAAAAAATGGGAAGTACACTTGAACACATTGACACAGGAGACCACTTCATAAAGTAGCACAGACACTGAGAGAAACAATTAATAAATGGGACCTCCTGAAACTGAGAAGCTTCTGGTAAAGCAAAGGACATGGTCAACAAGACAAAATGACAGCCTACAGAATGGGAAAATATCTTCACCAAGCCCACATCAGACAAAGGACTGGTTGCCAAAATATACAAAGAACTCAAGAAATTGGTCATCAAAAGAACAAATAATCCAGTTAAAAAAAATAGCGTATAGACCTAAACAGAGAACTCTCATCAGAGAAAAATCTAAAATGACTGAACATCCTTAGCCATCAGAGAAATGCAAATCAAAACAACTCTGAGATTCCATCTTACACCTGTAAGAACAGCCAAGAACAAACACACTGATGACAACTTATGCTGAAGAGAATGTGGGATAAAGGAAACACTCCTGCATTGCTGGTAGGAGTGCAAATTGATACAGCCCCTTTGGATATCAGTATGGCAATTTCTCAGACAATTAGGAAACAACTTTCCTCAAGACCAAGCAATACCACTTTTGAATATATACTCAAAGGGTGCTCAACTGCACCACAAAGACATGTGCTCAACTATTCAAAGCAGCATTGATTGTCATAGCCAGAACCTGGAAACAACCTAAATGCTCCTCGACTAAAGAATGGATAAGGAAAATGTACATTTACACAGCAGAAAAATATAATGACATTTTGAAAATTGCAGGCAAATGGACGGAGCTAGAAAACATCATATTGAGTAAGGTAACCCAGAAAGACAATTATCATATGTACTCACTCATAAGTGGTTTTTAGACATAAAGCAAAGAAAAACCAGCCCACAATTCACAATCCCAGAGAACATAGACAACAAGGGGAACCTAAGAGAGACATACATGGGTCTAATCTACATGGGAAGTAGAAAAAGACAAGATCTCCTGAGTAAATTGGGACCATGGGAGAGAGGAGAAGGAGAGGGGAGAAGGGAGGGGGGCAGAAAAAAATATATATAGCTCAATAAAAACAATGAAAAAAGAGAAAGTGTTGTTTTTAATGTTAACGACTTATAAATAAGGAACCATGTTCCTCAAATTTTGCTTCTATTGATTACAGTATTGAATGGGTATTTTCTTCTAGTGGAGAAACATTCCTCAGCATGTATCTATGCTTGTGTTTTGTCTTGTCATCATGATCAATGGCAAATCTCCTATGACATGTCTCTTGTGCCTGAACCAAATCTTATGTCATCACAAGTCATGATGTCCAACACTGTCATCATCCTCGGGTTTCTCCCATGGGTTCCTTTTTAAATTCCTAGATCGGAATCGGGCTTAAGGTGTTACAAAAGATGGGGAAGGCAAATAAAGGGGGTAGAAAAGGAAAGAAAAGAGCTTAACCAAGATAAACAAATAGGAGTAAGGCTATGGAAAGGCGCCGGGGTGATATCTGGTTGGCTAGTTTCTTCACTACAGCCATTTCCCCAGGAGGATCCTTTTACCACCAGAGGGCGCCAGTCCTGTTTTACATGTTGGTAGCCCAGCCACTGGCTACCATGGTGAGACAATATTTTCAAGGAAGAGGGTGGGAATGTATCATAGTCCTGGTCTTGTATTCTACCTGTTATGCCTCTCACTAGTTACA